GATTTTATTACAGTTTTAGCCGTATGTAATTAAATCTCAATTGATTCTAACGTGATTTTAATTCGATTCTAATTGATTTCAAAAGGAAATGTAATTAAATCTCAACTGATTCTAACGGGATTTTAATTCGATATTAATTGATTTTAAAAGGAATTTTAATTAAATGTCAATTGATTCTAACGGGATTTTAATTCGATTCTAATTGATTTTAAAAGGAAATTTCATGAAATCTCAATTGACTCTAACGGGATTTTAATTCGATTCTAATTGATTTTAAAAGGATTTTAAAGGCGGCCCTACTAAATCCTTTCAATAAATATGCCCCCCCCAATAATAAATAATTTCTGACCCCGCGGATTATTTATTATTACGGGGGGAGGGGGGGGGGGACGTCGTTTATTATTAGGGGGAAGCGATTAATAACCCCTACAATAGTCCCCTATACAATCCCCTCTATAACTCCCCTTTAACCAATTTAGACTATGGCTCATCTGAACCCCCTAAACCCTGAGCAATAAGCCTTAAACTCCAAACAATAAACCTCAGACCCTAAACCTTAAAGCCTAAACCTTGAACCCAAAACCTTGACCCTAAACCCTAAGCCTTACCCCAATTTGTTCAAGCTGTATAGGGTTGAACCCTAAAGCCCATTATGAATTTATATGGGGGTCTCATTTCAAGCTCCGGCCTCCTCAACTTCAGCGTTTTGCTACTATTGGCTTAAGAACCACCCAAAAAATGAAGGTATTCTTCCTTCTAAGGGTAATATAGGGATTGTTATTTTGCATGATTTAAGGGTTCTTAAGCAAATAGTAGTTTGGGTTTTGGTTTAAGTTTAGTGTGTTGGGCTCCGGGCTCCGTACCTCTTACATGTAATGATGATGTAGCTCATAGTACTCCCTTCTGCCTAATATCAAACCTTCCCGACCACCCTAACACAAAATGCTCCCATCGTAGTATGTTATACGATATTGCGAATAAGCAAAATCACAGCCGCCATGGATTGAGGCTTCCGATGCGACATGAAGGGGAACGGGCACGCCAGCCTTTAACGGTCGGGTCCAGCCGTAATTCATCTAGGCTTTCTGGTTCTTAGTAGGGTTTAAGGAATATGTTATACAGGAATTATGTAAGGATTTTATTCCCCTGTTACCTACAAAGAACCAGTACGTAGGCAGGATCCATGCGGGCGGGTTATTAGCTCCGATGTCAAAGCAGGAGTCGCTTTTGTCACAGTCGCAGCTGGCTCCCAATGCTCACCCACCAGACTGCTTTCAGCTCCTCAGCGCTGTAGGCGGTGCCATTGGAGTGGAACACATCATGAAACCAAGGGTCTTCCTTGCCAATCTCCTCAGTTTCTGCTGGCGCAGGTAGCAAGCTGCAGGAGGCATACGCAAACAAATAGCGCTCTTCCTTCGACAACAAATGGAGCATGAGGAGAAAGAAGAAGCATCTGTTTAAAAAAGACATGAATGGAACCAAGACACGGTATCCAACCATGTGTTCCATGGCACATGGGTGTTGGATCGGCCCTGGAAGAGTCCCCAGGTGTATCCCCACGCGCCCTGGGCCGCGGTGCAATAGTCAAAAGTGCCCCCACTTGAAGCGTTCATTCCACCCTCCTTTGCTAGCTTGGATCACTGCCCACCACCCATCAGTCGAGTGAGTATGGAGACTGGATGGACAGTTCAGCTTGGAGAACTCATTCCAAAGCAACAACATGAACTGCTATCTGGCTATGCCCAAAGCGGGACTGTAGATTCTCTGGCACCTTACGGTACAGAAAGTCGCTGGCGCGGTGCCCAAGACCAAAGTGTAGACACCCTGTAACCTTCCCCGGAGGGCCTTGCCATGAATTTCATGCGAACTCTCGAGGGACGCCATATAAAAACCTGAAACTCTCCATGCAGTGTCCACTAATTACTGGAAGGTTCGTAGCTAGCTATGGCGTTCTGACTCGGCAAAACGCAGGCTTAAAATGGTATAAGTATCGCTGCCCTCTTCAGGGATCTACTTTCGTCTACCCACGAAGCAAATCGTCCGTGCGCCTGCTGGCGCAGGACAGGAAGGCTGTTGATCAGGGTCGAATTCTGAGGCCGCGCCATGAACTCCTTGGCTCTGTGGTTTTGAAGTATGGGCCTCGCCGCTAAACTAGTGTGTCCACACATGCCCTTGAGGGCCCCTGTGATCCACCAAAAGGATTTACGGCGCGATGTGGAATCATGCATCCCCCTCAGCCCCGCTGACTTGAAGTAATCGTGCGTGGGAGCTTCAGCCTGAGATGCGTGAACGGGTTGGAGTTGCGGATCAAAGAGACTTGAGACGAAAAATGTACTGCACCCTGCTTGCTCAGGCAGTACGGTGAAACCAATCTCGTACAACCCACACAACTGTCTGGTGTACCAGTGTACCACTTAGATATGACTTGGGGTTTTCATGCAGCATGTAGATTGATGTGGGGTGGTCAGGTCATGTCATTCGCCGCGCGTGGCAGGCAAGAGGCGGTGACCAGCACAGGCCCCCTTTCTTGGGCAGCAAGCTCCACGAGGTTTCTTTCGAGCTCGTCAGGAGAGCAGTAGCCTCGTAGCAGGTAGCATCACCATGGCCTCTATCATAAAGCTCCCCATCATGACAAACATGAGCCTGCTAGCTGAGGGGCAGTGGATTGAGATTATATCACTGAGTTCGATAAGCTCGTTGTTGAGCACTGCCTGCACATAATGTTCTTCATATCACGCATGTTCCGATTTCTTTTAGTACCCCAGAGCATCAGAGAGTCCTTGTACTCTTTCACATCCTCTTCATCTTGGCTGTTTGGGAAATCCCAAACAGCCGTGGTGAGTGGCTGCATAGGGCTGACCTCCCTCGCCCACTGGAACGCCTGCAAGCAGATGTGACAGCCAGCCAAAAGGTGATGTGCTTTTCAACTTATTTTAGACCTGGCGCAGCCTGTCTGACCAGAGACAGGATTATGTTCAGCTTGACTCCATCTAGCAGCCAGTGGTCGGGATGCTTCCCTGGAGGCCAGCCGTTCAAAGCAGCCAGCCTGGGCAGAATCAAGTGCTCACTCTGTCGCATTGTAGGCTCATTGTAAATATCCCAAATCGCCACGCGCGGATCGGTTGCAAAGCGGCGGACTACAGCGGTGACGTAGTGCTGCAACCGGTCACTCGCCCAGGCTTCTCCCAGACCAAAAGCCCTGAGCACTGTGTGGGTTGGGCATTGGACCCAGGCGCTGTTGTGAACCCCTGGCAGGAAAAGGTCTTCACCAGGCTCTCCAGCATCTGGTCGCCAGCAGGCATCGAATAGGACGATCATTGTCGACATTCCTGTCGCTGAATCACTAGGCTCACTAGGCACAATGACAACATACATGCAGACTGGAGCGTGTACTCTGCAAAATGCGAACTGGCCTTGCCGATGTAGGACATCCAGGAGCCTCGACACATCTTGGAGAAAAGCCATCCCATGGCGGTGGAAGAGCTCCTCGTGCAGGAAGATCCGTACAGCCGAGAAGCCAGCCACCCCTGGAAATGGCAGACTAGGTCTTACCATAATATCTTATGATATACTATAATATGCTATAATATTTCATATACAGTAATATACTTAGTCTACAATCCCAGAAGCATCATCTGGCAACGAAGCATTTGATCATTCCGAGCGTCTGGCAATGCGGAGCTCCCTTTCAGCTGCCAGAAGCCTGAGCAATGTGCTGTAGATAACTGTAAGGCAAAGGCAAATGCGGCGATTTCTGTTGCCCGCTGCCAGCAACATGCACAACATCAGAGACATCTCGTGTTTCTGTGACATGGGGTGATAGTAGGAGCACCTGAGGGCTCGCATGCTTCTAGAGCTTAACAGTCGGACCTTGCAGCAAACATGGTAACAACGGTAAGAGAACATGGTAATAGCGGCAAGAAAACCAGTCATAGCAAACATGATAAGAATAGCAGCACACACAGCATGAGCATTCATTCGCAGCCCCTGGGCTCCAGACGTTGTGTCAAACCGTTGTGGATCAAAGAGCTCAAAGACATTGCCACAGTGCGAGGGGAGGTAGTTTGCCTTTGCTGCATCTGCGCGAGATCGACGTGCAAGATGCTGGTGATCAGTAGGGAACAAAGGAATATAATCCTTATAGAACCCCATATACTATATTCCCTTATAACCCCCTTTCTAAGGCATACAATCTATATATATATATATACACCTATATGTGAACTTTCCCTTATTCCCTAGTAGCCCCCAGTGAGACAAGATAATGCTTAAATCAGTCCTAGCCATCCCATCTCCCCAGTGCAGGCTTTGGCATGCTCATGCATGTGGGATCCCTTCTGGGAACCGTTTTTGGGTAGGGTTATATAGGGGTTACAGGGTATATATTGGGGTTACGTGCCCTAAACTCTAAACCTAAATCCCAGAATAGGGATAATGGAAAAGAAGATGGAACCTCCTAAGCCCTAAACCCTCTAGACCCTGATTCAAGACTTGATTCTCGTAGTTGTGCACATGGGTAGTTCCCATTTTGGCACCCCTATGAGGTGCCGAAAAAAGAATCCAAAGCCAATAGGGACCCATAATTTTGAGGACAACCCTATGTGAGGGGGGATCTCTTGCTTTTGAAAGGTGATCCCTAAGATTCAGGAGTCAGAGTTTGCTGAAAGACGCCCCTCATGCCAACGGCAGGGGATCCTCAGAGCCTACTACAGGGACCTAAATAATTACCAATATCATTTTGAGGTCCGTTTATTTGAGGTACCATATATTATAAGTATACAAGGAATATGGAACCATAATATTGGTAACTATTCAGGCGAGCACTATGGGAACTGTAGCCTTGCTCCTTGTTTCTAGCTACTACTACTACTACTACTACTACTGCTACTACTGCGTACTGCTTCCGGTCGAGACTGCCTGCTTACTCCAATGGTATCAGCATTGCTGGGCATTGCGCTCCCATGTTGAATCTGAACTGCCATTCTTGTGAGTAATTCCCGTGCTCAGTGTCATTTGGCTCCTTGCAGTTGTGACTACAAGGTTCTTTCCAGTATAACTGTACGGGATACGTGCCAGAATGATGGTCCCTCATGGGGCTGGTCATGCTCATGGACTTCATGCAGCCTAACTCTTGTGACAGTCTCGTGGCACAGGCCAATACCAGAAAACTCATCCAGTCGCTGTTAAGTTCCGTCTGCAGGCGCAGGAAAACTAAGGCCATGCGACTTGTTACCATGGCTCCTATCAAGGTTGCTGATACCCCGTGGACCTCAGACAACTACAAGACCCTTCTACATCCCTTGTATATAGTCCCCCTTAAGTAGATAGAATAGGGCTTCGGGCATATTATCATAAGATCTCCATATACCCCAAATTCTATCTACTTAAGGGGAACTATACCTCCTAAACCCTCTTGCAAAAGCTCCTGCCTTGAAATCTCCCTCCCTGGAATTGCAGTCCTTCATGGGGGCTGCATACATCTGGGCCAGTGTCTAATATAGGGGTTCTCATTGGGAGTGCTTATGGTGTACAACTTTCAGTCCCTAAGCTCTCGATCCTCAACCTTTTACTTAAAAAATCCATTACCATTATGCGATGACCACTGTTATGACCTCGACTAGTACTAATACTATTACAATTACCCGTAATATCACTATTACTGTTACACCATTAGCATTACCATTACACAACTACTATCACCCTATTACTATTCCTATTACCGTTACTGGTACTGTCACTAGTACTCTATGGCTACGACCTTAGAGGCCAAAGGCACTCCCAGATGCCAGCCCTGCTTCCGACCCCAAAGCCGGCTCTGCTGGGCACTCCAGCGCGCTGCGGCTCCCAGGGGCAACAGCAGGAGCACCCAAAGCATCATAGCAAAACACATATACTATGAATATGGGCGAGTGCGTGAGCGCGTGTTTGTTTGTGTGTGTGTACACCAGGATTAAAGGTTGGATTTTTGGGGGTCCCTGGAATAAGAATCAAAGTATTTCGGGGTCTAGATTGGGATTCGCTTATTTTGGGAAAATACCATATGCGCAAAAGAATATGTATCCACAGTTAAGAACACAAAAAATGTGTGTCCTACGCATTTATGGATGCTGCGGGCGGCAGCAGGGTGGGATTTTGAGGGGTGTGGGGATGTTGAATGCTGCCCAAATTCTGACGAATCCCGGCCCAACAGCCCTATTTCAAATTCTAGTATGGCTGGAGAGCCAGGTGCGGCGGCTCACAATGTAGTGGCTATGCTCCTGAAACTCCCGCCAGCCAGCCAGAGTCAAATATGCGGGTTGCTCTAAAAATTATGGGCCCCTTTGGTTATAGATTATATTACGGCACCCAATGTTTAGGGGTACCAAAAAAGGGGACCCTAATTTTGGGAATTGGGAACTACCCAAAATTGTGTCCCAAAGTATTGGCCTGCCATAGGATAGCGTCTCTTGGGGGGGAGGCGCTACTTCCACGCGCAAGGACTGTGACAGTTGCTGTCTTTGCCAGGAGCCCGAAGGCCAACTGACGGCGCCGAATGGGATTTTCTTGGATCATTCATCCCTGTCTGAGGGGTTTTAGGGGGGTTATAGGGTTTAGGGTACACTAAACCCTAACCTTCCTTGGGGTCGGCAGAAATTGGAGGGAATGGCTTTCTGGGCTCCCTGCGACGAGGCCGCTCCCGCCTGAAGACGCGCGAGAAAGTCTATGTCGCAAGGCATGGGGTCCCGACCTATGAGGAGTTCCCAAAATTGGGGACATATAGGGTTACATAAGGATAATATAAAGATAATGGAAAAGAAAATGGAAGCTACTATTTAGGGTATAGGGTTTAGGGAGTTCCCAGTATTAGGGTCCCATTTGGGGATTTCCCAAAATTGGGGATACCGTTCCGGGGGTCTCTTCAAACAGGATTATAGCATTTTGGGGTCTATAATCGATCCCCCTATTTTGAGAACCTACCATTTTGGTACCCCTGAATATTAGGTGCCGTAATACAGTCTGTGGCCAAAAGGGGCGCATAATTTTGAGAACAACCCCTAGGGTTCACTGCTGTATATAACCCCTATAATCCCTGTAGTTTCCATTTGCTTTTCCATTATCCCTATACAACCCCAATATAGACCCTAAATAACCCCTATGGCACGCAAGTGAGCCTGTTCTTGTCATTCTTCACCTTCTTCCCTCGGGAACCTGCAGCTGAATTGGAGCCAGGCTCCGCCAAGAAAGGGACTCTTAACTTTCAGAAGCCCTACTCCCTAGAAACCACCAGATTTCCTCCAGTTTCCATACAACTTTGCATGTTCTTTTTCGTTTGATTCTCCTCACTGGCGGTACCACATCCTTATGATATATACCCCTCATTTTGGGAAACCCTTAAGCCTATAATATCCCTATATTCCCCTATATTAGAAATCCCTATACTATGATACCCCCACTGGCCCCCTCCCCTCTCTGAAAGCCTCCCTTGCAGGCCAGGTCGCTGCTGCTGCGCCTCTTGTGGCGGTGAGCCGCACGTCCTTGGGGGCTTCCGTCGGTGCTTGGGTGTTCCCAGACCCCGGGTGAGGGTTTAGGGTTTGCGGTTTAGCTAAGGACTTTGGTCGCGTAGGCATTGTTGCATCTGCTGGGGATTTTGGGGATCCTAGGGCCCGGGCCCATAGTCCCTCTTAAGTAGATAGAATCTGGGGTATACGGGGATCTTACTATATTGTACCCAAAGCCATATTCTATCTACTTAAGGGGGACTGTAGGGTTTAGGGTTTAAGCATTCTGGGGTCTGGTTTCTGAGACTTTCTGAGACGGCACAAGGCGCATGGCTTACCCATAGAATACCCCAATTAAACCACAAGAACTCGATTTGGCCACATCTCAAGCCTCCACACAGCGCATCACGGTCTAGGGTCTGGGGTCATGTCCTGTGATGCTTATGGGGGTTTAGAATAGTGGCGTTGGGCAGCATCAGAAGTCAAGTGAGAATCTGGGGGTGCCACCCTTTCTGCTTCGGCTGCGCTTTTCCCGGCTGCCCGAACCCATGCCATGGATATCGGCTTTCCAGCACAAAGGTACTTCCCAGACCCCTGGAGGACCCTATTGGAGGTAGAGTAAGAATATTATGGTATGTTGTGGTATATTCTAATATATTATGGTATGTTGTGGTATATTGTCGCATAATGGTATAGTATGGTATATTATGGCATATTACAATAGATTATGGACAGTCTGTGGGGCATGTTGCAACTAAACATGTAGCTTTGCACAGCTCTTGCCATGGAGACTTCCTTGCCCGAACCAGTAACAGTGTGGGGAGATCCTGCTTTTTCAGGGGCATGTAATATGGGGCCTAAATAATTTCCTTTCCAAGTCTATTTGAGGTACCATAGACCGTGATTATAGAAGGAATATGGAACCGTAATCTTGGTGATTATTTAGGCCCCCTATAGTATTCAGGTCATTGAGTGGGTTTGTCGTGGGGCACAGAGGGAAGTTCTCCAACTACTGGATTATTGGACAGCAAGCTCCTGCAGGCATGAGT